TTTGCCCCCATTAGCGAGTGTTTAGTTCAGCGTTTTAAATAATTGTGTCCTCTCGGAATGATATTTAAAATCCATTTGCGGGGCAATGAGGCGGGAAAGTGCCTGCGCGCGGCGGCCGCGGGCGCAGGGAAGCGCCGCGCGCCCATATTACAAACTCATTACGGGGTAATTTAGGGAGCGGCGCGCCTCGCCGGCACTCGCTTTCTCCTAATGGCCTCCCTCGTCGGAGGAGGAGGAGGGAGGGGGGAACCGCCCGGCGTCCGGTTGCAGCGCCTCCCTCTCCTCAGGAAATGGAGCCGCAGTTGATGGGACCCTCTCCGGCCATGATCCGGGCGCAACTCGGGGAAGAGCTGCGGCGCATGCGCCAGTCCGACTACGAGGTCGAGTACCGGGACGCCCTGGACCACGTCCGCGACACCCTGTACGAGGTGGAAGGGCCGAGCATGCGCGAGCAGCTGAAGGAGCAGCTGCGCCAGTGGTTCATCGAGTGCCAGTGAGCGTCCTCGGGCCGCACAGGGGCAGGGGCGGCCGGCAGCCCAAAGCCGCGCCAGAGGAGGAGGAGGAGGAGGAGCCGGCTGGAGGCGCGCTGGTCTGTGTGCCCAGCAAAGGGCGTCTTTCCAGCCCTGCGAAAGCGTCCGTCGATCGCAGCCCACTTCTTCGGAGGCCGCCAGAAGTCGGCTCCAGACAAGAGCTGCCCGTATTTCGGGCGCCGCGGGGGCAATTCCGTGCTTTCCGGGCGCGGCCCTAGGAGGGCTTGGCAGAACCCCCTTGAGCCGGCGACGCAGCAACGCAAGGGCGCCCCCCCAAGCGTCTCCGTGGGTCCGGGCGCCCCTTAGACGGCTCCTCGAGCGTGTCCCCGTCCCCTCCTGCCCTGCAGGACTGTCACCGAGACCCCTTTTCTGCCTTTTGCAGCGACCTGACCGGCCGCTTCCCCGACTACCCGGAGGAGGCGATGGGGGGCTGCGCAGTCCTCTTTGCCCAGAAGACTCCGGAGGAGGTACGGGGAAAGGGGGAAGGCAGCTCCCCGGGCTGAAGAGCCTTCACCGATGTCCCTCGGGGGCTGCCCCCAAGCTGTCCTACAGGATATTCCCTCCCCCCACACACACACGGCTCAGTCACCCAAATTTCTGCACGCCCTCCCCCACCCGACCGGCGGCAGGTGAGGGCCGAGCTGGACCTGGCCGAGATCAAGGCAGAGGCGAAGAAGAAGGAGAAGAAGAAGGAGAAGATGGAGAAAGGCCAAAAGGAGGCCGGGAAGGAGAAGGACAAGAAGGGGAAGGACAAGAAAATGGTGAGATGGAGGGCCCGACCCGGGCCTTCTTACGTCCACCCCCCCTCCCCGCCAGGCCGCCACCTCTCCTGGGCCCGGGGAGGACAGGGCGGCGTCGGGTTTACGAGGGACGAGGCGGGAGGCCGACGACCCTCGGTCTGCGGGCTGACGTGTTGGGCTTGAGGGTCCCCGCAGGAGGAAGACGAAGGCCTGACGCTCTCGCCGTCCAAGTTCCTGGAGACCATCCAGCGGGCGGCGTGGGGTTTACGAGGGACGAGGCGGGAGGGCGACGGCCCTCGGTCTGCGGGCTGGCGTGTTGGGCTTGAGGGTCCCCGCAGGAGGAAGACGAAGGCCTGACGCTCTCGCCGTCCAAGTTCCTGGAGACCATCCAGCAAGGTTTCCTGCACTACTCAGGTAGGCGGGCGAGGGGGGGCGGAGTCCTGAGCGGCCGAGCCAGCGCAGGGGCGCACTCCACCTTCCTTCTATCCCTCCTCCTGGCTGAGTGTCAGTCATCAAGCTCCGGTGGTGGGCAACTCCGGCTGCAAACAGTGGTTGGGGGGGTGGCAGTTCTGCCACTGATTCCATGGCTCTGCCACCCAAGGCCCCTCCCTCGCCAGGGTTCACCTCAACTGGCCCTGAATGTCACACTCAAAAATCAGACCTTCTTCTTGTCCTGCTCACCCTCATGTTTTTCTCTCCCTGACCACAAGAACTAGAGAAGCATAGCATTCCCCCACACACATACATTCCGGCCAGTGTCCTGAAAGCTGGCAAACCAGGTTTCCCCACACCTGTCTTCCTCCTGTTTTGAACTGATTTGTTGCAGGTTCCAACACAAGTCCTGATCTCCTGCCCACAGTTCAACTGACAAAAAGGCCTGGTTCTCTTTTATTTTATTAAAAAAAAATTTACCCCACCTTTTTCCTTAAAAGGATCCAAGGTGTGCTGTTCGTGGGGCTACCTTTGAGTTTGATGCAGAAGCTCCAAATGGTGCAGAATGTGGCGGCCAGAGTCCTTAGTGGAGTGAGAAAATACCAGCATGTCTCTCCCACTCTGGCTGCCTTGCATTGGCTGCCCATTCGTTTCCGCATTGACTTCAATGATGTATAAAGCCCTAAATGGTTTGGGACCTCGATATTTGGCAGATTACCTTCTCCCACCTAGATCTACCCGAATTACTCGGCAGAGCCAGGAGGAACGGTTGAGGGGCCTAACGCTGAGAGAGGTCCAGAAAGAAATAACAAGAAACCGGGCCTTCTCGGCAGTGGCCCCTCGACTATGGAACAGCCTTCCAACAGAGATCC